GTTGGTGGCAGTAATTGATTTGGAACAACAGGGCGTGAGCATGGATGATGTGTGTCCTTTTCTGACAAAGATGGTCAATTCTTCCATTCCTCCCCCTCCTCCCTCAGTGATCTTGGTCTATAATCTGCCCAGATGTTTTAGCTACACTGTACTTCTCACAAAGGAGAACTGAACCTTTATTCTGTTAAACCACTGTGATTTGGTGGGGGAGTGGGGAGGGTCTTTTTTGTTACAGTAGCTAGTGTTAACCAACCTGATTAACACAGCTGTTAACTAGACTAATACAAGTTGTAAACTTACAACCTGTTGTTATGATACCCTGATAGTAATAAAGCTGGTGGTTTGGGGTAAGATTCTTAGAAGTTTTTGAGAATATAATAGTGCCTTATATTAGTAATCTAGTGGTATATCAAAAACCATCTTAAGAGGTAGTAGTTTAAAACAACAAACATTGATTATCTCAAAGTTTTTGATGCTCAGGAATTTTGGAGTGGCTTAGGTCGGTGGCTCTGACTCAAAGTCTGTCATGAAGTGCCATCAAAATGTTGGCAGGAGCTGCAGTCATCCAAAGGCTTGATTGGGGCTGGAGAATGCATTGTTCATAGGAGCCCTCAATTTATTGCTGGTTTCTGGCTGGAGTTCTCATTTCCTCATCAGATGCTCCTCTTTGTAGAGATTCTCAGGCAAAGGAAGCTAGCATCATTCAGAGAGAGTAATCCAAGAGAGAAAGCAAACAGGAAACCACAGAATCTTTTATTGCCCAGTGTCTCATGTTGCTTCCTCCCCCCACCCATTCATTAACAGTAAGTCACTAAGTCCAGCCACACTCAAGAAGAGGAGAATAGGTTCCACCTTTTCAAGAGGGTTTCAAAGAATTTGTGAACAGATTTTAAACTATATACACCCCATTACCCCAGAGTGGGTTTGTAGGTAGCTAAGGGGGTAGAATGGTGGGTGGCACCTAAGGTGGGGGGTTCAGTGATCCAACATAAATCAGGCTAATAGAGTGTAATGGTGTGACTGCTCCTATCTTACATTACTCCTTAATCTCATCAACAGACGAAGGGAGCCCAGCCAATTCTATTCAAGCAACCTCGACTGGGCCCCTGACAAGCATCTGCATATGGAGATGCCAAGGTAATCTGAGATGGGGATTTTCTACAGGGAGCACAGAGAAATTCCTGTTTACTTACCTCTGTGCATAGACATGATGGAGAGGAAATGAATTCCCATGAAACAGGACATTGTGCCGGAACCAGCCTGGCCCTGGCTTTATAGGGAGGTGGAGTTCCGGCATTGTCCTCTGACGTGGCCCCCTCCTGCCAACCTCCCAGCTTGCCCAGTGCTACATAGTGTGCTAATTGCCGATACAAACCCTGGGAATTTGCAGAGTAGGATAAGATAGATCCTACAGAAAGAGAAGTTCTTCCCTTTGCATAAAACATGTGCAAATGAAGCTGATCTTGATCTTAGCCCATGGCAGGGAATGGCAGTAACACTGGAAATATTGGCTCTGTGAAGGCTGGAATTTTCCATCCTTCGTCCTATATTCATAGTGCTATATAAGTGTGCACTAAATAAAAAGCACCTTGCTGGTATTTTTTAAACTAATTGAATGTGCTAGCATTTACCATGGCAGAAGGTGTGGTGATAAGAGGGTGACAGGAGTTCTGAGTCTCGTAGGTCTCTGACACCTGAAAATTCACCAGCCCAGCCATACTGATGGCAGCCTTGCACCCTGGGGAAATGGTTGTGTGAGTTCCTATAAAACAATAACATTGGGGTCTAATCCAATTATGATATGACCCACTCTTGGCTGAGCCCAAAGTGGAATCTGCACCATGGGGCAAGGCAAGGACCAGAGATAAAGGCTCAGTTTATGCCACTCCTTCTCAGGCTGATGGCATTTACTTGCATAGCCATAAAAAGCAGCCACTGGGGACTGTGGCAGAGTGTGGTAAAGCTGGCCATGTTGCAGTAGCCTGCCAATCACTGTTAGCAGCAGTGAGAATGGGACATTTCCTTAGACTCCCTGGATTTGGACAGCAACAACAGGCTCTGGGGCCACAGTGGTGGTACAACAGAGCTCCACTGAGCTGCCAGTGTCCAGAATGTGAAGGCCTCTAGGCTAAGGGGAACATAGCTTCTCCTACTAGGAACTGATAAGGAGGAACCACAGCTCAGCCATGGGAAGGGCAGACTTCTTTCTCGTCTTGGCATGAGCTTCCCTGGTTGAGACACCAGACTGGTGAAGTATGACATACTGGTTTTAGTTAATTTTATTTTAACTTTAAGGAGACTTTTAACTGGACCATCACCCCCAGGAAATGTTTCATGTAAAGAATAGCCAAGAAGGCCATAGATTCCATCCCACCAATGACACACAGCAACTGACTATTCACCCCCATATCCTGCGCTGGATTTTCCATATGGCCAACTCAAGTACACATATTGCTTTACCAAGTGATGTTCAACTTTGTCTGCAATTACCACTGTGATTACATTTCTCCTCATTAGCCTAGATGGGAGGGTGCAGGGAAAGATGGTTGGATCAGGACATCTAGTTTCCATACTGCGAACTGAATTTGCTTGGTGGCTCTGGTCAAGTCCATTTACCCATTTGTGCCTCCTCTTGTGGCCCTTGTTCAGATATGCAGTGATTCCATGACTAATTTTCAGTGCTGGTCTCAAGCATGTAGCTGCCATTTGGTGCAAAGTATTAGCATATCTTTATAATTGCTAATGAGGGAAAGAAAATTCCAGAAAAGCTCTTTGGAGGAATCTAAGAATAACACTATGAGCTAAGCATTCTGTCCAAACAAATTTCATTAAAAGAAAACCAAATTATTATCCTTTTGCAAAATAATAACAATAATGGCCTTAACTAACATTTGCCAGGTTCTAAATATGTATCTTGCAGTGTCTAAATATTTTACACATTGTTTTCGTTGCCTCCTGTTCACCCCATTGGTGAGGGAGGCATTCCACACTAGAATTATGAGGATGACCAAACACATTACACTCGATGCTTAGCAGATGTGACTGACAGCAGTTATTATTCATATACACTCTCAGCTTCAGAGAGGTGAACACAGCATGGGATGCCAGCCACACAGGGGTTGCCCTCAGGAGCAGGGTGAACAGGCAGGGGCTGTGGGTGGCAGGCTTTGTAGCAACAAGAGGGTGAGGTGCCCCCGGTTCCTGCAGGAGAATCTGATGGGCTTTGAACAATTCCGAGCCTAGCAGGAAACTGACACCCACTACTCAGGGATAAGTAGGAGCTGTGCCTGGTCCACTTGATAAGGTGGGTTGCTCGACAGGAACCTTATCTGCAAGAGTAGAATGGAGAGAGGCTCTTGTGAGTAGGTCAGTAGAGGCCCTGCTGATTTGACCAGATTTGAAGGTAGCACACTATACCAAGCCTTAATTTCAGCCTTTACATGACACACACATATTGTTTCATCATTGCAACACTCCTATGAAATATCATTACGCCTTTTTACAGATCATGAAATTGAGGCTTAAATGAGGCTAAGCAAATTGCCCAGTGTTTCCTAGCTGGCAAGTGACTGAGCTGGTATTCAAAGCCAGGTTTGTTAGTCTCAGAGTCTGACACCATAAGCGACTGTGAAGAGGTAGATGTAACAACCCGTCTTAGACATGAATCAAGAAAAAAGAAGGACAAGGGGGGAACACCCTACCCCAGATAACCAGAGAGCTCAAGTTAAACACACGCAGTCCTTTGTTCTGTCCACCATTTGACCTTCTGAGTCCCATGCTACCTTCTGCAAGGCAACTGGGTTCATAAAGCCATCTCAGTGACCACTAACAGCAGCAGCTCTGCCTCACACTTTAATCAGTGGTCCCTGAAGTGTTTACAAGCCCAACTGCTCGGGACACACTTGATTTTACACCCTGGGGGACGAGAAACAGTCCAAGCAGATCAACCAGCTTCCAGGTGCTTCAAATTCCCAAGGCCAGGGATGGCACCAATCAGTCATCCTTTTGCATGTGGATGTTGGGTATATCAAAGGGACTTGATGTTCTAGAATAAATTCTTCTACACTGAAAAGAGGCTTTAGATCTCTTTCAGTCCAAATCCCTCATTATGCGGTTAAAGAAAGTGAAGTGGCCTCCCCAAGGTCACAAAGTTGGTTAGGGCAGAACCTGCTTGCATCCCTTCCCTAAACCCTTTCCCAACTCCCTCCTCCCGTGCACACCTCCCACTCTCAAGTAGAAGAAGGGAGAAACTCTCTTCCTCAGCACCCTTTGCAGTTAGGCTGACCATGTGACCTGTTCCAGGCTTTGTGCCAAGAGGGAATCTGCCAGGGGGAGTCTGGGAGTGGTGTTTCTTCCCGGATAGAAAGAAAGCATGGAGAAAGAGCTCTCTCACCATTCTCTCCAAACTCTACCTTCTATAAGAGCCAGTGGAGGACCTGAGGCTTGAAACCAGAGGGAAAGTTCAGAGATGCAGACATAGCAACTCAGCCTCAGGTGTGTGCTAAATCAGTCCCCAAACTGCCCTTCCTGACTCTTCATTTCAGTAACAATTAATCCAAGTTTAAACCACTGTTAGTCATGTTTTCTCTTCTTTGCCGCCAAACACCCTCCTCTGAGCAGCAGTCACTAGAGTCAGGCAGTAGGTGAAGACCCAGCAGTGTCACCCACTAGCGATGAGACCCAGGGCAAGGAACTTTTCTCTGTCTCAGTTTCATTTTTTGGAAATGGGCATATGTTTTTACAGAGGTGCTGTAAAGTAGTGCTTCCCAGCCTTTTTGGAACCAGGGACTGGTTTCGTGGAAGACAATTTTCCCACAGACCAGGGGTGTGGGGGTGGGGGATGGTTTCAGGATGACTCAAGTGCATTACTTTTATTGTGCACTTTATTTCTATTATTACATTGTAATATATAATGAAATAATTATACAACTCACCAAAATGTAGAATCAGTGGGAGCCCTGAGCTTGTTTTCCTGCAACTAATCAGTCACATCTAGGGGTGATGGGAGACAGTGACAGATCACAAGGCATAAGATTCTCATTAGCAGCATGTAAACTAGATCCCTTGCATGTACAGTTCTAGAGTTTGCTATGAGAATCTAATGCTGCCACTGATTTGACAGGAGGTGGAGCTCAGGCAGTAATGTGAGCAAGGGGGTAGGGGGTGACTGTAAATAGAGATAAAGCTTCCCTCGCTCACCCATCACTCAGCTCCTCCTGTGTGGCCCAGTTACTAAGAGTCCAGGACTGGTACTCACCTGTGACCTGGCATGGGGGAGTGGTTGGGGACCCTTGCTGTAAAGCTTAAAATCTTTATAAAGAGTGTATAATATTTTCTAGCTCACAATTGACTGTTAGCTAGGATTATTTCATTGTTCTCTCAGCCTACCTTCACAGAGGCTCTCCAACACAGAGCTCCTCAAAACTTTTGATGATACAGATGAATTACCCAGCAATCCTGTTTAAATTCAATTTTTGATTTAAAAAGTCTGCCTTGGGACTAAGACTGCATTTATAAGATCTTTTAGGGTATGTCTGTGCTGCTGGTGCTCAGATCACACTTTGAGAAGCAAGACTGTGGGACCCTCTGGGTCTGTTTCCTGCTAGTTCAGCCTTCTAGCTGGTGGATCTGCACTAATAGCATGTCCCGACCTTCTCACTATACTCACGGTAGTTCGTTCCTACAGTCAGACGGTCCTTGCATCCAGCAGCATCTTCATCAAATTCCAATTCCTGGGCTGAGCCCAGGACTTGGTGACTCAGACCCTGCTTCTCCAGGTCTAAAGGTTGTCATTGTCAATCACAATGTCACCCTCAATGGCCCATGGTCTAGCCTAGTCACAGGGAGCTGGATGTACAGTAAGACAGGTATATGGAAGAAATCTGGGGCTTTTTGAGGATTTCATTCAAAGCAGGATGCAACGGTTCATATACTTCAAAACTGGAGCCACTTGGGGACCAGGATGATGTATGTTATGATAACCCCCAGAACTAGAATCCATGAATTTCCTTGATCCAGCACTGTGCTCCAACCCTGGGACAGGCTTAAAGTTTGTCCTGACCCAGTTCATCTCATCTGCCTGCCTGCACTTCTGTCAGCTGCCTGTGCCAGGTGTCTCATTCCCCTCCTTCCACCTGTGAAGAAGCTCAAAACCTGCAAGCTCTACTTCCTTCCAAGGCCAGTCTTGCCTTCACATACTCCTTCCCCTTCTTCTCCCTGTACTCTCTCCACTGGCTCTCCCCACACTCCTGCTCCCCAGTCCTGTGCTTTGCTCTCCATCCTGCTGAAGTTCACCTTCATTCCTTCCAGATTGTGCCCTCAATTCCTCTCAGTCCATTTTGTGTTGCATGACTACCATAGACTAGGTAATTCATAAAGAAAATATATTTATAAATTTATTCTCACAGCTCTGAAGTCTGGGAAGTCCAGTGTCAAGGTGCTGGCCTCTGGTGAGGGCCTTCATGCTGTGTCATCCCCAGGCAGAGGCCAAGAGAGCAAAAGAGAGCGGGAGATGGCCAAACTTGCTTTTATAACAAGCCCACTCTCATGATAACAAACCTACTCCTGCAATAATGACACTATTCTATTCATGATGGTGAAATCTTCATGGCTTAATCACTTCTTAATGGTCCCACCTCTTAATACCATCACAATGGCCATTAAATTTTAACACAAGTTTTGGAAGTGCTGTGTTTTGATTAATTTTCCCCTTCAAAAAGTATGTTGAAAAGTCTCAATGTAGCAGTATTAATAGGTGGGGCCTTTAAGAGGTGAGTGAGTCATGAGGGCTCTGCCTTCATAAGAATATTAATCCATACATGGATTAATGGACTATCACAGGAATGAGTCTGTTTAAAAGCCAGCGTGGCTCTCATTTTCACACCCTTGCCATGTGATGTCTTGAGCCATATTGAGATTCTCCAGAGAGTCCCCACCAGCAAGAAGGCCCTCACCAGATGTGGCCACTCGACCTTGGATTTCCTCAGAGCTGTAAGAAATGAATTTATTTTCTTTATAAATTATCCAGTCTCAGTTATTCAATTTTAGCAACAGAAAACAGAGTAAGGCAGGAGGGGACATTCAAACCACAGCATTCCAACCACAGCCACCCAAACTAATGTTTTTCTGGCATACAAAATGCATTCATTCTATCTTGATGCCCCAAAAGTCTTATTTCAGCATCAACTCAAAAGTCCAAAGCCCAAAGTCCCATCTGAATTAGAAATAGGGGGGACTCAAGGCGTGATTCATCATGAGGCAAATTTCTCTCCAGCTATAACATGGGAAATTAACAAGTTACATGCTTCCAAAATAAAATGCTGGGACAGACATAAAGTAGACATTCCCATTCCAAAAGGGCAGAATAGGCAAGAAGAAAGAGATAACTGGTCCCAGGTATTAATAAATCTAAAACCCAACAGAGAGAACAACCCGAAGCTCCAGAATAATCTGCTTTGACTCCATGTCCTGGGCACTCTGGGGCAGGAGTTGGGCTCCCAGGAACTCAGGCATCCTTGCTCCTATGGTTTTGCTGAGTTCAGTCTACCTAGCAGGTCTCATGGGTTGGAGTGTGGCACCAGCAGCTCTCCCAGGTTAATATTTCAAGCTGGCAGCTCTACAGTTCTGGAGTATCAGAAGTGACCCTGGCTCCACTAGGCACTGCACAGCCCCTGTAGCAGATCCAAATCCACATTTCAACTCAGCATTGCCCAAATAGAGCTCTCTGTGATGGCTCTGCCTCCATGACAAGTCTTTGCCTGGGCCCCCAGGTTGACTGTGACAGCCTTTAAAATCTAGGTGGAGGTCACTGTGCCCCACAGCCCTTGCATTCTACATGCCTGCAGAATTAACACCATGTAGATGCTGCCAATGTCTACAGCTTGTACCTTTTGGAGCAGTTGATTGAGCCACAACTGGGGCCACTTGAACCACAGCTGGAGCAGCAGAGAATCGCTGTACCAGGATGTAAAAACAGAGATCCAAGGTGGTCCTGGACAGGGAGCCCTTACAGGGCATCCAGGCCCATCCCCCAAAATCATTCTGTCCTCTGAGAGCTCTGGATCTGTGATTGAGGGCAGCTTTGAAGATCTCTGAAATGCCTTTGGGGTCATCCTTCCACTGTCTTGATGACCCCTTCCATCTGTACAGGTCTCCTTACCCAACGGTTTGTTGGCCACACCCTTGGTTTCCTCATGTGAACACATTTTCATTCTTTAAATGGTCAGGCTGAATATTTAAAAAATTTTTCTGTTCTGCTTTTGTTTTAAATTATAAATTTCATCTTTAAGTCATTTTTTCCCTCTTGGATCTTACTATATGCAGTTAAAAGTAGCTGCACAACTCCTCCAATATTTTGCTTAGAAGTTTCTTCTGCTAGATATTCTAGTCAGACACTCTTAAATTCCACCTTCTATAAATCCCTCGGGCATGGACACAATTTGACCAAGTTGCTTGCCATTTCATAACAAGGATGCTCTTTACTCCAGTGTCCAAAAAGATATCCTGTTTTTCCACCTGAGACCTCATCAGAATGACCTTTACTGTCAGCATTTCTATCAACATTCTGACCATGGCCACTCAAGTAATCTGTAAGAAGTTTCATACTCTCCCTACAGCTCTCCTCTTCTTCTGAGCCCTCTCCAGAATTGTCTTACTACTCTGTTTATAGAAATCTAGGCTTTTTCTAGCCTACTCTTCCAAATTTTTTCAACCTTTATCGATTACCCAGTTCCAAAGCTACTTTCACATTTTCAGGTTATTTGTTACAATAACAGCCTCAATTCTCAGTACCAACTTTCTATCCATTTTGTGTTTCTATAAACACAGGTTGGGTAATTTATAAAGACAAGAAATGTATGCTCACTGTTCTGAAGACTAGGAAGTCCAATATCAAGATGCTGGCATCTGGTAAGGGCCTTTGTGGTGTATCATCCCATGGCAGAAGGTGGAAGGCAAGACAGCACGAGAGAGCAAGAGAGCAAGAGGGGGCCAAACTCACTAGTATAAGCAGCCTACTCTCATGATAACGAACCCACTCCTGCAATAACAACATTTTTCAATTCTTGAGGGTGGTGCCCGCGTGGCCTCATCACCTCTAAATACTGTCACACTGGCAATTAAATTTTAACATGAATTTTGGAGGGGACATTCAAATCATAGCACTCTCCAATACTCTCTTAGCATCTTCTATAAGCCTCTAGTTTGCAATATGCCAAATGCCACTACGGCCCCTTGTTTGAAACATGTTTGTCTCCCTAGTCACTGAGCTTTCTGAAGGCAGCAACAGCCTTTCATCCTGGTCCTCTTTCTGGCTGGACCCTTCCCCTGGCCCTACCCCAACCTAACATGCCTTCCAGGCACCTGTGTCACTCTGGAGGTCGAAGAGCACAGGCACTTACCTGTGTGATGCGTTTTTCCATCTTTGTTTCATTGCCTTCATCAACCTTCTGATCCAGGTAGCCAGAAGCTGCTGTATGATCAAGTAAGAAAAGAAAATCTCAGAATTATTAATCACTTCTACTGTGCTGGACACCCTGATAAGAAATTTATGTATGCCCATTTAATTACAACTATTATCGCTATTGGATTTCTATCATCTCCACTTTACAGATGCGGAAATGGAAGCTGAGGGCAGGTAATAGGAATATTGCCTGAGGTTGCACAGCAAGGAAGAGAAGCAGTGGAGCCAGGAGCCCAGCCTCTGTTAACTTCTAGCAAAATGGCTCAAGGAAATATAGGCACAAACCTGATTCTTGGCTGGCTTCTTTCCACTGGTGGAAAGCTGGTGGAAAAGTGGAGGGTCCTGTCTAAAAGAGAGTAGATTAGTTAAATCACTGAGTTTTGTTTCCTCCCACCAAACTATGAGTTGTTATTGCAAGATCCCTGAGTCAATGCCAATCTTTTACCGTCCTGGGAGCTTAAATACACTTGGCAAGCAACACCAAGTTATACGGTTTCCAATACTTAGAGGTATCTGTGAATGCAGATCTTAATGCAGTATATTCTTCTGGGGCTGCATTTTCTGTCTGAAACTGAGAATGTATTTTAGATGATGTGGTTAGCATAGAACATGCTTCATCTCAGGACTCAGCTAGGATAAACACAAGGCAGGCACATTGGCCAGTGTCAAGTGTGAAGGCCCAATTTAGGCCCTTACTGTGTTGAAGGCTGCTGGGCAGATGCCAGGACAGACACAGAGGCCAGGCTCCAGTACAGCCTCAGGGGAAGTCCATGCCAGGGTGTACTTGATCTGGTCTCCCACATAACATAAATGATCCTGGAGATGAAGGTCCTGCCAAGAGACCTCCAGGTGACTCCAGGAGTCTTTGAGGCTGTGAATCTTTGCACCATACTTTAAACTAAATTTCTACAGAGCCCCAAATGCCTGTCGCCTCCTCAGCTCCTTTTGTAAAGGAACATTGGTAAACCATGGACCATTAAGAGTAGACAAAGTTTTGCCAAGTCCTTGGTGCTATGCGGGGAAGAGCTTCTCAGAATGTTCTACTGGGTCCCTCTAGCTGCAGAGGAGGGCAAATGAGCACCAGGGGTCTGGAGGGATAGCCCGAAGCAGCCCCATAACTTGCATGGAATGTTTTTGAAGTCTTGTATTTATCTTAATAATTCATGAGAATTTTACATTTCTTTCCATGCTATACCCATATCTATTTTATATTAAATGTAGCATTAATAATTGCCCGAAACCTGAAAAAAATGGTGCCCCAGAAAGCTGCACCCACAGTTCTCCTGTAGCCACCCTGAGGGGACATATGTCCCAGTTCGAAAGCACAGATGTACGGTGTTAATCTCACTGGTTATTCCAGAACCTTCTCTTGCCCACACTTAGAAAAACCACAGGCAGCCAGAGGCTTGAACCTAAGTAACATGCACACAAGTTCAGACCCAACAAAGGGAAGAATTTCCAGGAGATATTTGCGCACAGACTCAAGAAGACTTTTAGAAAATGAACAAGCAAAATACCTCACCAAAAGGCAGGGACTCCTAATATTTTGGATTCTCTGAACACTGATGTAGTGTACAGAGATCCTCCCCAGAAAAAAAACAAACAAACAAACAAAAAAAACATTTCTTAGGTCTGTGTGTTCTTTAGAGATTTCCAGAGACCTGAGGCCATCCGTGGACCCCTAAGAATATAAAGATTCCCACTGAGATCCTTTGTGCAAAGGCCCTTTGTAGAGGGCATGCGTTTTCTTTAAATGTTTTGAGCCAGCGTCTAAATGTTGAGAAAGTTCACACTGATGTCTAGATCCTGGAGACTTGACAACTTTGGACCTGCATGATCTCATGGCTCCATGGAGGGGAGGAGCAGCCGCTGCCCCTGCAGCTGGGATTCCTCGTCCCCTCTGCCACACCACCCCCATTCCTCCTTCACAGAACCCGCCAGCCCCTGTGGCGCCTTAACTGGTGACTCTTGTCATGCCATTAGGCCATCGTCGGGGACATCAGGCCCTGACAGTGGACAAGAGCCATCTGGAGTCCATGCTGGTCATCACCTGCCCCAGCTGACCTTCCACCCAGACCTGCTGCTGGGCTGTGGTTGGAGAGAAGCTGGGTCAAAGAAGTGGAAAAATCTGCAGATACATCCAGTACTGGCAGCATTGGTTGTAGTGAAGGAGTTCAATCCTCTAAACGGGGAGGATTCTCCCCACTCCACTTGGAATGGAGCCATGAGGGTGAGTGGAGGGTCAGAGCCTGCTGCAGTCATGGGGCAGAAACAGCTTCCCGTACAACATCGGCACCCTCTCTTGGGACGGTGCTGGCTGCAGCAACAAATTAACACAAATAGGCTGACTTAAAACAACAGAAATGTATTTTCTCACAGTTCTGGAGGCCAGCAATCTGAAGTCAAAGTGTCCACAGGGCCATGGCACCCTCTGGAGACTCAAGAGGAGAATCTATCATTTGCCTCCTCCAGCTTCTGGTCTCTCCAGGCATCCATTGGCTTGTGGCTGTGTCACTCCAATCCCTTCTTTATGTCTGTGTTTTCTCTTCTGAAGACTCCTGTCATTGGATTTGAGGCCCACCTAATCAATCCAGGATGATCTCATCTGGAGATCCTTCCCTTAATTATGTCTGAAAAGATGTTTTTTTCCAAATGAAGTCACATTCACAGGTACTGGGGATTAGGACTTGGACGTATCTTTTGGGGGTCACCATTCAACCCACTACCCAGCTTCTTCTCAGCCATTGGCATATGTCATAGGCAACAGCAGCCCCTAATAACAAGGGTCAGTCATGGAGGTGGCTTTGCCAGTGTTCATGGTAAAAAGTGCCCTCCATGAGCAAGACCTGACTGTGGAGGAGAATACAGAACCACATCGCAACTTACTTACTCGGATGCCCTTGGTAATGAGCACAACAGCCCAACTGGGGGTCACCAAGAGATCTCTGGGAGGGATGGAGGCACATTAAAGAGGTCCTGGAAGAGTGAGTAGGGGCTGAGCCTGATTTTTTTAAACATGTTGTGACCTATTTGCACCCTAAGGCTGCTGAGGCCTGGGGAAGTGCTTAATTTGCACAACTGCACCCTCATGAGAGTTCTGGTCTCATCCGAGTCCACCTGCCCATGCCCCAAATCCAAACCAGTGCGTTCCTCTCTCATGCTCTGCCAACCAGCATGGGGTGAGCCATCCAGCACCCACTGAGCACTTCCTGTGTGAAGTTCCCATACTGGGGTACCCCTCTCCCTAGAGCTCTAGATGGAGAGACAGAGAGGCATCCTCCAATCACCTAGGAAAAGTCAGTTAGGTATGGATGTCAGATGTTTTCATCGTCCTATTCCTGTCCCTTATTTATAAAGTGAGTGGGCTCTGTGCTCACGGTCCCCTGGTGGGATGCAGTAGAAATAAAGGCAGAAACTGCCTGGCTTTGGTCTTCTGAAAGTCTAAGCCCCTGGGGGATTTCAGAGAATTTACTGAGCTGAAAAAATAAAAGGGCTTAGGGGTATGTATTAGCCTGTTATCACACTGCTATAAAGAACTCTCTGAAACTGGGTAATTGATGAAGCAAAGAGGTTTAATTGACTCACAGTTCTGCGGACTTCACAGGAAGCATGACTGGGAGGCCTCAAGAAACTTACAATCATGGCAGAAGGGGAAGGGGAAGCAAGCACATCTAACCACAGTGGAGCAGGAGAGAGAGAGAGACAAGGGGAAAGTGCACACACTTTTAAATGATCAGATATCATGAGAACTCACTATCACGAAAACAGCATGGGGGAAACTGCCCCCATGATCCAGTCACTTCCCACCAGGCCCCTCCTTCAACCACTGGGGATTACAATTCAACGTGAGATTTGGATGGGGACACAGAGCCAAACCAGATCAGAGTAGAAACAAAAAATACTGGACCCATAAACAGACAGAACATTTCCCCAGATCAGGCAATTTTCCCCAGGTCAGGGAGATATTCTGTTGGGGTGTGGGGAGGAGACTGGGATAGGTCAGCAAGATCCCAGGAAGGGGGCAGCTGCCTGGTCCTCTTAAGTACTTGAGAAAGGTATCTTCACCCCAAATGGAGCTTTGAACCTCAGGCCTCATTGCCCCGAGGGCCAGCCAATGGACTGTAATGTATATGGACTGATGATGAGGCCCAATGAGGACCAGAGGATCCACTCCTGCCCCCACCCCTCTCAGCAGTTCCACAACCTACATATGTCCCTGAGACCATGATCTGGTCACAGAGTAAGGAGAGTGCCTCGGTTTGCTAGGGCTGCCCCGACAATCCACAGACTGTTCACAGGTGGCTTCAACAACAGACCTTTTTTGTAGCAGTTCTAGAGGTCAGAAATCCAAGATCAAGGTGGCACTGGGCTATTTCTGAGGCCTCTCTCCTTGGCTTGTGGATGGCTGTCTTCTGCCTGTGTCTTCACATGGGCTTGTGGATGGCTGTCTTCTGCCTGTGTCTTCACATGGTCTTCCCTCTGTGCCTGTCTGTGTCCTCGTATCCTCATTACAACACTTATCATATGGATTTAGGGCCCACTCTAATGATCTCATGGTAACTGAATTGCATCTTTAGTGGTCCTGTCTCCAAATACCATCACACTCTGAGGTACTGCAAGTTAGAACTTCAACAGAAGAATTTTAGGAGGTCATAGTTCAGCCCTTTACAAAGAGGAACTTTCAGAAAATGATCCAGCTTGGTGAAGAAATTGTTCTTTTGAAATAAAATTTAAGTCAATAAAAAACACAGATTTCTCTTTTGTATACACCTCGGGACGTGGACTGATTCATGTCTACTGGCCCCCACAGGTGCCTTTTCCCCAGGCAGGAAGGTACAGATCCTGGGTGGGGCACAGTTGTGTGTGTGTGTGTGTGTGTGTGTTTAAAGAAAATCTCCAGGTGATTCTCAGTCCCTCCCACAGAGGCCCACTACTGTGCCAAGTGGGCACAGGGCAAATCCCAAATCTCTTGCTCAGTTATAAGACAAATAGTCACTAGGTGCCTTCTATAGGCGAAGCATTGTGCAAGGCACCTGGAAGAAAATTAAAGTATGTGGCCTGCCCTTACCTGTTATGTACAGCAAGGCGCTCGGTCAAAGCAAAGAGAGCCCAAAGGCATTCCCATGCTTGGTGCTCCAGACCTCCTTGTGCACTCACATGCCCGCGCTCTTTACTCTCATCCAGGTTCTTTCTCCGTCCCTAGATCTGCTAAGAAGTATACTATGGATGGGTCAATTTTTTACAAAGAAGAGTGAGAACTTCCTCCCCTCAAGGGAAATAAGTGTCCTGTGGTGGCAAGGAATAAGGGGAGTGAGGAATAGGACTTTGTGGTAAATGCTTTAACTC